ATAGATCGGTACATATGTAAATATAGTGATAGGCTTGAACATGCGAATTCATTTGTAAATTTTCGTTGTTTATAAATCAAAAATAATTGTGATCCCGATATTTCTGTATTAAGATTTCTGTTATATGATTTTTAATTTTATCTTATTTCCAAATATGTTATTCAAATATCACGGAGATTGTGAAACACTCTGTGTATGTGTGTGTGTAGTATGTAATATGTTTATGCATGTGCAGATGTAGATACGCAGTCAGCATCAAGTCATCTAAAAGATGACTAAAAGACAATATAGTTCTATACTATAGATGTTTTTAAGAACATATCTTTAACGAAAAATAATGACTAATAGATAATATACGTTCCATTGAAAGTCATCTTATAGTTGATGACTAAAAGATGACTAATTGTAAATATCTTTTAGTCGTTTTAATTATATGTATTGTGGCCTGAAGAATCTAATAAATAGAGGTACATTAATAATAATATAAGTCTAATAATATAACAGTTATATAAGTATAACAAAATTGAGTATCACAAATAATATTGCATAAATATTAGCTCGGTAAAGTAATTTCTGATTCGTAAATATAACACTTATATTAAATCATATTTATGTGTTGTAATTACATCCTATATATAAATAAAAATATTTGGTTTAATAGAATTAACTAATTAAATTTAAATAATTTAACTTATAAAACTAACAATTTTTTAAAATGGAAATTAACTTCTATTTTATATATATATTATATATATATTTTATATATATAAGTAGGCAATAACAAACGATTTTTCTTATGATGAAAAGATGACTTAGAAAAAAGATCTTTTCGTCATCTTTTAGTTTTTTGTGTTGTCTGAATAAAGTGTTTTAGATGCTTAAGGGCCGACAATTGAGATCTTTTGCGGAATACTGATGAAACAGATTCCTTTTTTGCATATTATGGCCAAATATAGATAGAATAATATTTTAATTATGATATTTGTAGTTAACTATATCAATTCTTTGAAGTGTGATATTTTTCAATAAAAATTAAAAAAGTATGAATTGATTAGATATACATAAATAATCATAAGTTTATTATATATTATAAATTTTTAAGAACCAAAATCCGGTATTTTAGCACAAATTCTATGTTTAAAAATATATATTAAAATTAAATATATAATATAATATATTAAAATTTATAAAGAAATATATAAATAGATAAATAATTTAATAAATAGTTTTTTCGCAATATCGCGGGATAGTACTAAAATGTAAAATCAGTATGTATGCAATATATTATTAATTTATTATTAATTTAAAAATGTAAGAAAAATATAAAAAAATTTCACATAAATACTATAACTTGTTTGTGGCAGAATATGCAGAATGCGGACATTATTGACGTAAGGTATAGTTGAGTGTTTAGAAGGAAATTTTCTAATCGCGTGACAAAGAGATATTTTGCTTTGTCTCTTTTGCATTACATTTATGTGACATTCATATAAACATAAACATAGCTTCAATTGGATAATATTAGACACCAAATAAGCAAAATGTGCGCAATATGTGTCAGCAGATTGGTAATAAAATTTGCTCGGAAGTTGCTAACAAATTGGTATCAATTGTATTTGCAATAAAACTTTGATATATCGATTTAATTTTAAGAGTCTGCTCACAAAACTTTATAGATTGGCGCCAAAAACAGAAATCTATATAATTTGATGACAAATTGATAGCAAAAACGAGCTGCAAAGCCGATTATTACAGCAGATTTTGTTATAGTTCTGTTTGTCAACATAATCAAAGTTAATTAAATTAAATTTGTAGTAGATAAAATCTGTTTGAACAGATTTGACTGGTAAAATATGAAATAATCGCGCTATCTTTATCCCTTTATTATATCAATGATACACGACGCAATAACGATCCAAACCGCGAAATAGGTAATTAATAAAAAGTACATTTTATCAATTACTTTCACATATATTATAGCTTCGATAAAAACTTCGAAACATGTTGCGGATTTTTTAAATTTCTGAAATACGACACTTTAAAATATTATATTTTTTTATTCTTGATTATATTCATTTTTTATAGAGTGTTATTCATGCCTTTTATTAATTTTAAGACAAATATAATTTCAGCTATAATTTGTAGAAGCCAGAAAACATTTTCAGGACGTAATGTTTCTCGGAGAGATGCAGCACCGATGTTTCAACACGAATATCATCAGCACAATAGAAGAGCAAAGAACATGATTGTTAATCTTTTTCTATTCTTTTTCTTTGCAATGCAATAAAGAGTGTATATTTGTATGTTTGTTTGTATGAATCATATATAAAGATAGACATATAAAGATAAACTTAGCATGTGCTATATAATAATTGTCTCTCTCCAGAAAGAAAAAGAAAATTGCAGGATAATTTTCTTTCCTTTGTCTGCGCAGATCAGATGCACAATTATCTCTTGTCTGTCATTATAAATGACACGTGATGTGACGTGAATTATAACAATAGCCAGAATAAAATTATTCTTTAATTTGAAAACCAAATTAAAGAATAGTTTTACACATACATAAAATATTTTTTTACTTAATATTTTCATTTAATATTTCATTTAACTTTGACTTTTATATATTTTTATATAAAAAAAAATATTCATGTGACACGTTGATATCGATACCGCAGTTGAAGACAATATTGTAAAGGACAGAAAATATCCTTCCTGTCTCTCTCTTTCTTTCTCTCTCTTTCATGCAAAGTTGATCCAGCATCTACTATAAAATATGCTGGATCTATCTTTATATATCTTTATATATCTATTTGAATAGGAGTGGAGGAAAAATAGCGGATCAATTAAAAGTGGTCCTGATGGCCAGTCTCTTATTAGAAGATTTCTAACATGAACCACAAACTTTTACATATTAAACATACATGTCTAGATGGAGATAAAAAGTTTTATTCTTGGCATTGATTTAATCTTGAGGCTGGAGTTTTGCATTGTTACTTCGCGAAATCTCAAAGATCAATTCGGAGTTTGCACATAATTCTCTCGTGTCGACCCTTAATAAAAATACTTAAAAATAAAAAATCAATTTATCGTTTTTGATCATGTGAAATTCGATGGTTTCTTCTCTTTTTCTCTGTGTAAGTGTGTGTGTGTGTGTGTGCGCGCGTGTGATGTATGTGCGTATGTAATAACAAGATGGCAAAAATGTTTATTCTGATTGTTTGCAGGAGAAATTTTTCATTTCCCTACTCATTCGTCAAAATTACATTATTATTACGCATACGTTGTAATAGTACGTTGTAATAGAGAATGTACGAATGTTGTAGAAAGATTCGCTATATTAATGAAGAAAATCAGAAAACGCGTTTGAATTTTCGCGATTATCCGAGTAAATTATTTATTTATCCGAAGTATTTAATTTTTAATTTCGCAATATATAAACCCACTCGTTGCATTGCGATTTGTGTCTCGCAGTGAATAAGCCCCATTCATCTCGATGGTGTTTACATCATTTCTTTCGTTATGCTGTTCAAGTAACTTGATAAATATATATATATATATATATATATATATATATATATATATATAACATTAATAATGCAAAAGGAGAGAGAGATAGAAAAGAGGAAAGAAAAGAGAGAGATAGAGAGAAAGAGAGAGAAAGAGAGGGAGAAAGAGAGAGAGAGCGAGAGCACGTAAATTATGAATGCATTTTTATCGATTTTTCGAGTTTTTCTCTTTTATCCGTTTTTTTTATTGTTGACTTTGAGAAAAGATTTTATTTTATAGCATTTCATCATTAATCGTGTTATCTACGTATATTTTGAGACGTAGTATCAGATAATAATGTAAAATGACGAGAGATTTGATTAAAAAAAAACAAGGTAAAAAGAATCGATTATATTTATATGATATATGTGTATATGTATTTTTGTGTTCGCCCATCATACGAGCGCTTATTTTTCAACATAGCTAAATGTGTGAATACATCAATCACTAAATTTTTACCAATTTGACAATGAGATAAAAATATTAAACACACGATCGCTCTCTCTAGACAATTGCGCGCTATGTATTTTTGCAATTGATATTAGCGCATCGATATGTGTGTATGTGTGTGTGTCTACGTGTGTGCGTGCGCGCGCGCGTGGCGGAAGAATATTTCCCGCAGCGAGATATACTTTATTATATATCGCATAAATTTATTATTTACGGTTAGTAATGTGGTTAATAATACTCGCTATTCCAAAGCAACATTATGAAAGATTTGATCATATCAAATTGTAGTTACTTGTAATGGTGGTATATATATATATATATATATATATATATAATATCACGAATGTTGCTAATCTCGTGACAAAAATGTAGAATTAATCATAGAAGCTTATATATATCTCAAACTTATACTACATAGATTAAATACGAAGTTCGAAGGTCTCTCTTGCGTATCATTAGGTAAAATTTTCCTATAAGAGATATTAAATTTACTCACGTGGCCGATATTTTTTCTTACTCGCTACATCTTTCCTTTTTTCTCTTTCTGAATTGTGTCGCAACTTCAACATTTTATTATATAAAATGCTTTTGTATTCGAAATATTTGCTTGAAAAGTATAGAAAACATGGAAAGTATATGCCACAGAAACGTAACTGTCGAAAAATTTAACTCAAGTCTTATCGTGTGAAAATTAAAAATTAAATTTTAACGATAAAAACAAGATAACGCCCCAAGATTAATTGATGTTTTCTATCTCGCTGCAGGACCGATGATATTTTTTTCTTGTACGTAAGCATGTGCATAGATGTAACTCGTTGCTCTCGCTATGAAAGACAAAAGTGAAAATTGAAAAAAAAAATTACTTGGAAGAATCTTTTGCTGCGTTGCGTCTACACGTCAACTCAGCGCGGTGCCACGATGACACCTTTATTTCTGCTCGTTTGTCGCGAACTTCTTAACCGCGATTCCATTCTGCTGTCTTTATATACCATGTTTCCCCCCTTTTCCTTTTTCATTTTCTCTTTTGCATCGACACATCGATGCCTTTTCTCTATTTTCCTATCCTTTTCTCATTCTGTCATGGCTGTCGTTAAATTCATCAATATCAATATCGATCCAAATTAATCCTCTCTTTGTTATTTCCTATTTTCTCTTGCTATGCCCTTCGTTTACAATTTATTTCTATAACTTTCCTATTACAGCAATAAATACTGTATGATATTTCATTTTCTTCTGGATAGTCTTTCCGAAAATATTTCCCTTATGACTTGACCACGGAATATATAAACGTGTTCGATGATTTTTTTTCGTTTTAATTTTGCTTATTAAAATAGTGTCACGACTTAATATTACATTTTTCTACGTCAATGTATAATTTCGTGACTTTCATTTCGTGTTTTCATTCTTATATGCATTCCGTTTTGTTAGCTATGTATAGTCGGTCTCTGTCGATTCGATGTACGACGTCGTCATTTGATGTGCATTATCGATGCAAATGCTTGATTGTATTCGTTCTTTCATTACCTCTACATCAGTGGCGTTTTCACACCTCATTTAAAATCTATTTGCTTTTTCAATACTTATCATCGATGTATGTTCAATGACCATCGAATTTTGTTCAATCTCCATAAAACAATCTTCGAGAATTAAAGAAAAATTCGTTGTTACAAAAAAAAAACAGATAATAAGGTGTCGCGATATAAACGATCGGATATACGCACATGTACAACGAAATTTTTTTTTTTCTTTCTTCTCTCTCTCTCTCTTTCTCTTTTTCTCTCTCTCTTTTTCTCTATCTGCCGCGAGTTCTGTTAACCAACAGCCGAAAAGCATGTCTATTTACCTTATGATCTCATTAGATAATCGATCGATTCCGCTCTTTTTCGCGTTTTTTTTTTTTTAATGATCTCACTTTTGCGTGTAGTTTTTCTCAAGGCTTTGAGGCACACGTAGCGCAGTGCACGCATAAATGTAGGTAAGTAGATAATAAGTACGCTGAGCAGGTACTGGAGCGAGTAATACATGTCGGCAGTTACGACATATATTGCGGCTTCGGTTTTCGTCGCGCTTAGTACTACCTTTAAATATGTGTGTATATGTATGTTCTTATATGCATATTATTTCCTTTCCTCAGATGTTACATCGTTGTTTGTTATGTAACTCTCTTCCATATACACGTCTCTCTTTGTGTATACGTATGCACGTGTGTATCTATATGCGTGCGCGCGCGCGCGCGCGTGTTTATATGTGTGTATGAGAACGCTCGAATATGTGTGTGCTCCGTATTCCTAACGTTTAATTTCGCTTTCTATGGTGACAAAAAGCGTCCACCGAGAGCGGCAGCAGGGATAGTTCTCTTAGCCGATTTATTTGTGGTTGAAGGAAAACGGCGATGGACCCGTCACTGCGCTTCGGTGAAAATGCACATTCTGCCACTTGCTGTCTCTCTTGTGCCATACACGACTTTCTTCGCTTTGCTGAGTATGTGCTACACCTTGTCTGCGGGCGAAAGTAGAGAAAATGTGCAAATTAATTATTAGTACAACGCTTCGACCGAATAGTAAAAATATTTTAGAATAATGCGTAGGACATTGCAAGACGTATCGAATGGATAGATTGTTCCAGAGTAAAGAAATGAAATTTTGGTATTGTTTTTTATTTAGAGAAAATTAATTGTAAAAATTTTATATAGCAGTTGAAACTAATACACTAAAAAATGATTTTGTGGAATAGTAAATGAAGAATTCAAAGAAAAAAAGAGCAAATTTATACAAAAAGAGTGTAATATATATATTTATGTTTATGTAACTCACACACACAATGTATATTATATATAAATGTGATAAATATATATACAGAGTACTTCAAAGATATATAATAAATTGTAGAAGCCATGTTAATTAGACTTCTATTTCTTGTTTTGTTATTTTAATATTATCTACTCTCAAAATATGTGATTCCTTTTTTTTTAAATATCTTGCATATATATTAGATTTTTTTATTATTTATGTTCATACGAAAAAACAAGAGTCACATGGCTAAATTTTTTGTTGTCGTGCATCATTTGACATATCCAAAGCACATATCCTCCTCGTGCAAAACACGAACTTATTCGTCAATTCTCTTTAATTAATATTTCAATAATTATTGCGAAAATTGTAAAATGTTACAGGACTTTTTGTTCAGTTTATTGAGTCCTATCCGCTCAGAACCATTAATACAATCTTTATAAAATACTCTGTATAGATACATATTACATTTTTTAATTATTTACATTTTTAAATGCATCTTACTTGGACGCATCATACATTATATAATTATGTTCGTTTTTATAATTTCTACTCACTTATCCATGTATTGCGTCAGCCTGACATATGCGATACAAGCGGCATCTTCGCCCAGTAGATGGACATGAGGATTCAAGATGGTCGTGTTGACAGCTTTACAGTTTTTCCCCAGAACTGCTTAAGATGGTTATAAAAAAAAAATTTAATGTTACTTGAATATTATATAAACTTCATAGAATGTAAGTTTTTTACAATATTTTTTTTAACAATATTAAAAATGTTTGAAAGAAATGAAAGAAAAAGAAAGAGAAAAGAATTTCATTCTCTCTCTTTTTCTTTCTTTCAAAATGATATTGAAAGAGAATGTAGATTAATGATTGGTAAAATTAATATTTTATAAAAAAAATTTATAACATTTCAACAGAAATAATATTTATAATATTGTTTTATATAATTATTTCAAATAGGAGCACAGCAAAGCAGATAGGAGATCATTGAGACACTGCTGACAATCTAAATTGATGAAACAATCTCTGCCAAATTGGATTAAAGAACTTTTGGCAAAAAGCAATGAATAGAAAGATTGAATAAACATCGGTTTCCTTGACACATCTATATAATCTCAAATTGGTTAAGCAGAAAGAATGTTGATGAGAAAAGGACAAAGAAGAATTCAGTACATATGATATATCTCTGTTCGTCCCTTGTTTGCAAAAGATATAAACTCTTGGACCTGGTATTCTCTAAGCCCAGTAATTTGGGAAACATGAGGATAAACAGTCTATCTTTGTTAGATTGTTAAGAATTATAGATTAAGACTGCTATTTTAACTGCAAATTATCAGCAAGAAATTAATAAAATTCAAGGAATATTTTCGATTGGGAACTGTCTTCTTCACTTACTTCTCTTTACTATTCTTACTAAATTATTTATCAAGAAATGTATAATTAAAATTGCACATTTTAGTAAATTAATTAAATCTTTAAAAGGAATTTTTGGAATTTTTTTAACATCAAAATTTTACTAAATATTGATGATATGATTAAGAACATGAAAATTTGTAATAAAATGTAGAAAACAAAGCAAGAAGTTTTCGATCTATATCAATAATTCATTACAAATGTTAGCCTATGAAAATTATAACTAGGAATTCATTTTTATTACATGGTTGAAAAATATATTTTAGTTGCTGAAAATAATTCAAAAAAGAAAACGAAACAATTTGGATAATTAATTAATAAATCTCATTTGAAAGCTGCTATTTAATAAATTGCTTTTGAATAAATTAATTTTCTACTAATTAATTCTCTCATTACTTTGCTTATCTTGTATTTATCTTACCTTAATAAAATTATTGAGGAAAGATAGTCGAAAAATAAATATTTTATAATTTATGTAAAATTATATCAAATTAAAATTTATGTACAAAGTGTCTTAATCGCCATACTTTTCATGTGCAGGAAGAACGGGTTAAATCAAATAGAAAAGTTTTTTATAGTTTTGCGATTTTTACAATAATTAATCAAAAAAATTCGGCCATCCGTGCGGGTACAAGCGCGTAATGAGAGCCGTTAATTTCTCATTAATTATTGTAAAAATCGCACTGTAGAGAATTTTCTTACTCAGTTTAACCTGCACACGAAAAGTTCAGCGATTATTACCGGACACACTATATATATATATACTATACTGATCATACCTTATTATACTGTTATTACTATTATTATATCGTTTAGAAAATACATATGTTGGCATATTAAGTAGGTCATGCAAAGCTATTGTGTGCATTGTGTGTTCAAAACATGTGTTTAAAACATCTTTCATAGTCAATTTAGATAAATTTGCATAATAATAAAAGTACAAATAACATTGCAAATATGTCGAAATATTTTATAAATAATATTCGACTTGTATTCTATGTTATATATTATATATATTTTTATCAGATAATAAAATAAGTTTATAATTTGATCGCGAAGAGATACTCCGTTTATATATTATATGAAATGCACGTAAAACTTTAATACATCCTCGTCGATAAGTTATAAACTGTAACTCAAAGTTACAAAAGTATAAATAAATAACGTTTATTTAATTTTACAAATTTAACTTTATCGACAGAGTAAGATAGTTTCTCTTAACGAACAAAAAGTTAAAAGTTATTTTTTTAAAGCTTGCTTAAGTATAACATGCACAATACTTTTATACCGTTATTGACTGAACAACGTTTTTGGTTCATAAATCAAAAACGTAATTCTCAGCTACTAATATATATCACTATAAAATAAATAATGAGTAATAAATAATGAGTAACAAACGTACGCAATAATGGTGAACAATGTGGTGAAAATAAGTTATAATTACCATTATCAAAATAAAATTTGTGGAAATCCATTCCCTCGACTAAATTACCTAGAGCTTCTGGTTCGAATGCAGTCAGGTGTGGATCACAGATTTTCCTGAAATAATCAAAAAGATTAGCGCGTTCTCTTTGCACGTATAAAGATAATTATATATCCTAATTTCATTATAATTTAACATTAGTTTCCCTCTACTAGCGATAAATAAATTCGAATTGTAAAATTGAATGTTAATTAGGTGTTAAAATTTGGAATTATGTATATGTATATGTAAATTGTTATGTAGAAAATATTAGATTTATTTTGGAGTGGAGAGTGCTGATTTAACATTAAGCTATTTCTTATATAAAAAATCAAATATACAATATGAAGATTAGAAAACGAAGATCTACGAATTAAAATAAAATGAATTAAAATGAATTGAATATTTTAAGAAATATGTATATTGATTACATTATCAACCTCGTTAATCTATAGTCTTGAGTACGCTGAATAATGTTTTTTGTACAATAACTTTTTGGATGGAAGCATGACTTAACGCTATGTTTTGAAAAGATTCTTAAAATACCTAAAAATATTTTTTTAATTTCTAAAGAAATATTTTTAGGAAACCGTAAATAATTTCATAAATCCATATATTATAGTTTATATTTCTGTATTAGTATAAATTGCTAACAGTAGTACTAAAACTAATGCAAGAAGGATAGAATATATCTATCCAGAGAGCAAAATGTCAGTAGCATGTAGGCAACATCTCAGACAGCACATTGATATTCATTCGAAATCTACTCAATAATTCATTATTTATTTTTTCTTAATAGCACTGAAATAATGTTTTATTAACTTTCGTAAGCTTGTAGCTACGAAACGGCTCCATCAACCAATATCGTGCTTTTGATTGAACACTATATAAATTATTTATTTCCAAAATTGAATGAGCTATTTCGGATTAATTGTTAATTATTGTAAATCTAGTTTACAGTACAATATGAATATAATAATAAAAATTTAATAAATAAAACAGACGTTAAATTATCAAATATACTTATGAAAAATTTTATTAAATGATATTCTTTTAACTAAAATTTTGTATAAGATATTCTAAATTTATATTTTTGTATAAGATATTCTAATATCATATTTTTTAAATTTATCATTTTTTTAAATTAATAAGGATATGCATATTTTTAGTTAAATTCTTCTTAGTTAATATAAAAAATATTTGATTATCCTATATATGCTATTAAACAATTCGGCATTTTTTTATATTATTTATCAGCTTGACAAAACAGTTTTTATTTGACAGATATCTCGTTACTTACGTGTACGCTTCGAAATCCCCGGTGTTGATGCTCTCAATTAACTGTTCAGTCATCTTGATGATTTCCTGTCGGCGCGCTGGAATTGTTAACAGATCAATGAATTAATCAATTCGCATCCAAGTGCCCGGTTTCGATTATTGGGCTATATCGACACATTTTACAGCACAAACACATTTGCATGCACTTTTTTTTATCAACTCTACTAAACTCTACACCATTGTAGCCTCCGGTTGTGCAGAGGAGTGATGAGCCAGACTCGCGTGAATAATTAGTTTCCAATATCGGATGCAAGCGCGAGCCAATCTCTTATCCTTATCCTCAAAGATCAATTAAATCTTCATAGATCCTAATATAGAGGACGAATAGTTTTGAACATTTCAGTCGTCAATTAAAGCAACGGAAATTTTTAAAAAATTGAGCATTTGATTAAAATTTCGGTTTATGATAATTAACAATTGTATTTGCTTGACTATGACGTCATATTATACACAAAATATCATATATAAATTTAATAAATAATTAATTCGATCACTATTTTCAGAAAAACAAATAGTCAATATTAAAAAGAAACTTCAAAAATTATTTATATAAATCGATGTTAAATTTTTAGAAAGACATTCTTTATAATAAGATGAAAGAATTGTACAGAAATAAGGAAAAACTTATTCTTGTCCCTTTAATATATGTAGAATAAAAATATATAAAACTTAAAAGTCGTTTGATATGTATGATCCTTTTTCATTTAATTGACATTAATATTTAATAATTTGATAATTATTTGACTCAGCGATTGCTTTAATATCGACTGAATAATAAGATTCGAAAATATAATTCAAATTGCCAATTGGCGACTGAATACTCGCATTTCTTCACGATTATTTTTTTTATTCGCTTACTAAATCATTTCATTCAGTTTGGTGGCGCATTCGCTCATATATTCATTAACGCATGTTTTATACGGCAAACCTGATATTTCGATCACATTTGTGTTTTCTTCAACAAGGTGTTTTATATCATATAAATTATATAGAGAAATGGGTTTGTCTTTATGAATGAACAATTGATCGTTGAATTATCAAATAACTATTTCAATAATTATTAAGACACTTCTTTCTTATATATATATATATATATATATATATATATATATATATACATATATATTATTTTAATATATTTCATTTTATTTATTATAATTTATTTTTTATATTATAATGTTTTGGAGCTGTTCTTTGCTACGTACAAATTATTTTATCTTTAAACAGATTGATATTTGTAACTGTATTGTTTAATTCAACGACCATGACGCGTTTGTCGATATTACTTACGTTATAAGCCAGTAATTGTGTACACGGAAATTGTGATCATTTCCTTCGGACCAAAGTTTCGCGACAAGATTTCGAGAGTGTCTGGATCGCGAAATAATACACTTCATTATTTCGCATCTTTAATTATCGAATTGTATTTGTTGTGTATATATTTTTATTTAGTTGATTAATATTCAAAATATGTTTCTTCGAATAATTCGAAGATCGAGAGTTCGCATCAAAATAAAAAAGAAGGTATCGATATATCCTTCAGATATTTTTAAAATTAGTGCTAAATTAATATAAACTTATTAAAACAATTACGTGCCCAAAACAGCAATAATAAATTCATGAGTAATTTTATAATCGAAATGGTTTGAGAGAAAAAAAATGTCATTTTAGCAATGAATTGCTATGATAACACTACCACTATCACAACCGCCAGCTTTCCTACGCTACTGTATCCATCTTTCCTCTTATTAATTGTTATTATTACTAATTAAATTCCATTGCATTTCTATCACAGAACCAACGATCCCTTCGATCGATTTGTCTCTGAAATATGTTTATGGTTGTTTAAATGTGTAACATTCTCCGCAATTATGTATATTCTTATTATATGACAATTAGAATCATATGATGAAATTACCGCAAACTTTCATTTGACAGATAAATATTTAGACCTTGTAACATAATTATCGGATTGAAATTTACTAAATAGAAATGTGTTAAATATTCCAAAAAGTTTTTCAATTACTATTTTTAATATGTGCATGATAATGTGATTTAATTAATTGAAATAGTCAAATGTGTGATTTAATTAATTTAATTAATTAGAATGTTTTAGTTAATGATTTAGTTAATTAAAATTATGAGAAACTTGTTTAGTAATTGAATATTGAAAAAATAATCATACTAAATTTTCAGAAGAGTAATTACATTGTGCATCATATGTTTAATAATCATTATATATTGATATAATTGTATAAATCATTGCAGTAACTATACACATATACATTAAAGATTGTATTATGTGTGAATTATATACTGCGAATTACGTATAAGAAAAAATGAGATTTTTGGAAAGAAGAAAACAGATTGCGATATAAAAGTTATTATAAAATATCTAGAAGAAACACTATAAAAATTAATAAAATTAAATTTTTGTACATCTTCATTTTATATTGTGAAAATGTATGATACAGAAAAAGTGCCCAAAAATAATTAATTTAATTTGATTTCAGTTCTCTTTCACTCGCAATGTGCTTCCTTTTATGAATTTTGTAAATAAAAAAAATTGCGAATCGAAAATAATATTTTCTCGCTATTTTTTTAAATTTTTCTTCATTCTTTCTCATCGGTTTCCTGCTCTTACTGATGTAATTTCGCACTTTACCTGAGCACTGGGAGTTCGTTGAGAGCTGGCTGCAAGTCTTGATAGGACACACGATTCTTATGTCTACAAGCAATATATATTCCTTTCATATTAAAAAATGAACCAAGACGGAAATAATTTTCAAGGCAATACTCAAGCTGCTATATGAACACAAAGAAGATTAAGCTTTATGTATATTAAATTGCTTCGAAATTTAAAGTGTATCTAAGAAGCGATAATGCAGATAAAAAATTTTTATTAATTAAATGTAAGTATATTTACTTATATCAACGTATAATTTAATGTAACGTATAATTATATTATATGACATAATTATGTTGCATTGTTAGTCATATTATTTATTATCTTCATTACTTTAACTCTAAAAAAAATAAACATTGTAAACACGTAATATAAAAGAAATGAGAATATATATATTAGGCTTTCGATATTATAATATAAAATAAACAGGAAATCGAAGCAATTAAAAGCTAGGTGAAATGATGAAGGCTTCACAGCAATAGTAAAAGTTGTGAAAGTATTATCCTCGTATATTTCGAATGTCATTCACGTTAAGAAGCAAGATAATGAAGAACCAATATCAAAACGCAATCATCACAATAGATCACTAGACCCTTCATTAATTCGTTCCTAAGTTCCTCCTGCGAGAACGTAGAAGTATAGCCATAATGCCATCAGCCGGCAGTGACTGACTGGCATTGACTTATCGATCTAATTATCGATCGCCGCAAAAATACACACTATTTTAAATAAAATATTAAATTTTCTGTATATTAATATCAAAAAGATTAATCTATCTCAACCAGTGTCCTAGTGTAGTCTCATTTTGCATGGTTCCACATGAGTTTGCAATTTTCTTTGCGAAAGAAGATAATATTCTTTTTTTTCTAAATTTCAAGGTTAATTTATAAAAATCAATTGTTGCATTAGAATCCTTGAAGACCACTCTCCCTCTCCCCATTTCCAAGAAATTATTATTATTCCACAAATATTTAAATTCATTTGCTAAAATTCATTTGCAAGCTTAGTACTTGAAACATTTAAAGATAATGTTTTGAAATTTTTCATCATTCAAAAATTTAGAAATTTCATATCTTTTGAATTTTTAAATAATTTTAAGTGGTAACTTCTATTCTTAAATTTATATAATTATAATAATTTTCCAAAAAATAACGCTTTATATAATAAAAATGCATAATAAGAATTATTGAGGACTTATAGATATCGAATTGATTTTCGTGATAAATAATAAGTGATAAATAATTAGAAACATTTTGCTCATTTTCAAAATATAATTTAAAAATGAAATTAATATAAACTCCAAGATATTTCCTTTAATATAAATTCCAAAATATCATTAAAATTGCTTAGAATTTATCATGATTGCATATTAGATCTGCTATTCGGAATTCTAACTTAATATTTAAGTTTAGCATAACTGAAAAAATAAAATATAGCATGATTAAAAATTTTTAGTTATCCTAATTAAAAAAATAATAAAATATTATTAAACATGGGAGATGTTTACATACTAAAAAATCTATTTTCAAAAGAAGATGAAGATTTTTATATTCATATTGAAGAGACGGTTTATTGAAAAAAATGATCTATTGTTATGATCAATCCTTTCCTTATGATCAAGTCCTTTCAGATTTGTAAAAGTTATTTTGAAATATAAACATATATACAATGTTACAAAAATATGCAGGATGAGCAAAATTCATCAAGCTGAATAAAACGCTCTTAATAAACATATATCCATAACTTACTTTCGGCGATTTTTTTAGGTCAAAAGATCTCATTAGCTTTTAAAAAATCACAAGCAGATTAAAGACACAAGCTTATTATATCAGCGAATTGAAAATGCGTGTCATAATTTGGGAAAAGCTGGGAATATTTAGAAAAAGTAAGCAATTCTATTACATAGAGAGGTCAATTATGTATGAAAATACAAAAAGGAATATCTTTTATAATACTTATTTCAACGCGAATCTAACACGATAATAATTTATATTATTATTTTTACGTTGCATGTGATTTAACTGTGTATACGATATTTTATTTTAATCGATTATCCTCAAACATTTTTTTATTTTTGATTTTAGAAAAATGTTCAGACAAAAGTTGCAGAATTTTAAATGGGACATAACGAACAACGGATCAAATAAAATTTTTCTGAATAAAGACGTTTCGCAAATTTGGAGAACAATTAAATTTTTTTAATAAACTTAATCTATCCTACTTGTTTTATGTAAATAGATTCTTTATAACATTCTCTATAGAAAGTTATGAGAATAAAATAGGGAAAAATTAAACGAGATATTTTATATCTTAATCTAACATTTTTTATATAAAATATCAAAATATTAGATTAAAATATAAAATACCTCGTAAAGTAGTGAAGAATAAACAATATGAATAACATATAATAATACGACAAACACGTAATATTCGTGAAAGTAGTCTAGCTTATAATGACTTTTGGTTTCAATTCAATCAAAATGTAAACATTATAGCTTAATCTTCACGTGTGGCATTAAAAGGATTAACCGTCTCTCCAAAGAGTTTTTATTGTCATCTATCTTCTCATCTTGCTTCTGATTTGTTGACTGAATTTTCTGATTTCTATTTACCAAGTTTGTAATATTGTATATGTCTATTTAAATTTTCAGGTCGATGTAGTAGTATTTTTTCATTGCAAACACACACACGCACACACTGCAAACTTTAATCGCTTATAACTCAAAAATTATTATAGTCTCAATATTTTCGTATTAGAATTTTTTCTATTTTATTTCTAGAATCGTTATTAAAATATTATACAAAGGTTGTGAGATATCCTGCATATACAGGGTGTCCGATAACTGTGTCACCTTTCGTGTGCAAGTAGAGTGGGTTAAATTGAGTAGAAAAATCTTCTATTATTTTGCAATTTCTGTAATAATTAATGAGAAATTAATTAAAGAAGATTGATTAAAACTTTTTAGTTTAATCCATTTTATTTGCACACGCGAGGTAATATTATTATTAACAACATATATATATATATATATATATATATATATATATATATATATTGTATAAACGCATGTAAATATGCTTTCTATATTCTAATAATATTTTTATTGTTTTAGATGTGATACAGCATATGAATTCGAATAGATCCTCCTGCCCCCTCCATTATTTTCATCTTGCCATCGGGACATGTTCAATTTAAATGTACACGTATGTGAATGTAAGTTATACAAGAGATCATTATGAAATATTTGCGTTGAAATAGATTAATAAAATTTTCATTGTTTATTATACATGTTAATCGAATGACAAGGGTTCTAATTAGTTTGCGGATTATTTGATATTCATTCAAATTTCTGTGGTACATTAGAGCAGCATTAATTTTACATTTCTTTTATGTTGCTCTTGCTGATGCGCATTTATGAGATCGTCATTATTTCAGATTATGTATTATTTATACAACCATTTTTGATAAGATTATAATCAATAAACAAATATGTAAATATTTTACAGCTTGACTATTGATATAGATAGTGTATATTTATTTAAAATAAAATTTATTTAAAATATTGCGAAAAACACCCAGTAAGAAGATAAGGAATTGATCAAAGTAAAAAAAGGAAGTCAATACTTACTCTTACTTTTCACAAAATTTGTGTCGAATGCAGAGAATATTTTTTAATAGTTGAATTATAATATTATACATACATTATATATACAGGAGGTTTGGTAAAGATTGCACACTCGTGAAAGGGTAGAGAGCAGTAGAGTCACACGACTCGACTCTAAGATGTGTGCTCTAAATATATCAGCAGTGAATATCACATGGCAACAAAAAAAAGTTTGATTATGTATTCTTTGACTCTTGTCTTTTCATTGTCGTGTGACACTCGATATGTCTAATTACAATTAAATTCTAGCACTGCTTTACAAAATTTAATTTTTATAAAACATTTGATTAATGGTTTAGTTATGCTCCTTGCTGTATGTGTGTGCATATACACAGAGAAAAAGAGAAAGAGAGAGGAGAGAGGAAGGGAGGAAAAGGAGAAGAAGAGAGGAGAGGAGAGAGAGAATAGTTATAAATATACCATTTCAAATTTTAATAAATAAACGTATCAATGAATTTGTTAATACTATAATTATTCACGATAATGTACATAATAAACACGCATATAAGAAACGACAAAATAAAATCAGCTGTGCATGTAAAATTAATATCATCTGATATGAAAAAATCAATAACAGATGACAGACATCGGTTACACAGATGTGTAAATGTAGTTACGGACTTGAATGCGCGATATCATTGGAAAATTTTGATCACTTATAACTCAAAAACTATTATAGCATCAACATTTTTGTATTAGAATTTTTGTCTCAGTTTGTTTAGGAATGTGTTAGGAATATCATTAAAATTTTGATTGCGAATGGAATATCCTGTATATGATTAAGCTTACTTACAATTAGATATTTGGTATTGATTTCATTTACATTTTTAAATTTAATTTCTGAATAATGTTTAATAGTTGCTTATCTAGTTTTATTAGATTTTTTTATTTTGTATGAATTGTACACATGTTTGAATATATTTGTATTAATTGTATGCATGTTTGAATATATTTGGCGTTTTTTATCTCTTTTTAAAAAGCGGAAAGATAACGGGATAATAAGAGCCAAGCACAGAAAACAAAGTGCAAATAATTATTTGCATAAAAAATTTTAAACAATTCGGTTTCTTTTCGGATCATCTTCAATAAAGTTTTATACATTGCATCGTTTATTTAAGATTAAATACAGGATTTATTAAAAGTTGTAGATTAAATCATTAAGAATTTGCTAGATAGTTTTTAATTATGTTTATTCAAACTTGAAGATTTTAGATAGCTGAATTGTTAATGTCAAAATTGAGAAATTAAAATGTATAAATTTAAAGAAATTAAGTTGACTTTATCTGAAATATTTCATTTATAAAAATGTAGATGTATTATGTAGTTATTTCCTTGAAATTTGCAACTTTTATATGTAATAATTTTTCATAAAACATT